CTACTTCGTCTCACCTCAGCTTGCATACTACATAAACTTGTAATTTTGGTGATTACACAATGTCATTTAGAAAGTGGTCAAATGTAACATATGTTATATTTGGGATTACACTTTCTTAGTAAAGTACAAATTCTAGTACTTTCCCATGCGGGATTCGAACCCACAGGCACCAAATTCGCCAGCAGGCACCAAATCGCCAGCACAGAAAGTCAGCCGCCTAACCCGCTCAGCCACCGCGATTTTGGTATTTGGACATATTGTATTCTCAGAAATAGTGAGAGGCAGTGACTATATATCATGTTATTAAGATCATGAAATGTTAATTTAGGTAAGTAATAACAAACAAAGTATAAGAGCAGGCTTAAAGACATGGGGAAAAAAGAGGGGTTAACCACTCGTGTCTTTGCGAGGTTTAAAGATTTTATAAAATAAAATCCTTTCAAACGCATTTTATAAAATATATACAAAAATTTGAGATGACCCCCGACTCGAGTTTTTGAGTCGACATTTCGAGTCGGGGGTCATCTCAAAAACAATATTTTTTAATCAGTAATCCTCGCAAAGACACGATGTGGGGTTATCCGGTGCAGAAGTATCTCTCAGATAACTGCTTTCTGGGACAGTGTTCTCGCCTGTCTGTGGATTCGGTGTTTACTAAATATTACAGTGCTGTATCATTCTGCTAATCTCACCATCCATAGAAGCTCGGTTTTAAACATGCGTTTTCATAAAACTCTCACTGTCATCGTGTCTGTCACATGCAATTGACTGGTAAGTCGCGTCATCATTGCCGCAAGTCATACAGTCATTGGACATAAGTATTCGTCACTGTGCATAATTTCCATACACTTACATGTTAATTTGGTGCAGCTAGAAAAATTATCTTGAATTTATTTGTCGTTTGATCTTGTTTATATTTTGCACATGTGTCATGAATCATCTCAGCTGCAAAGACATAATTTCCATTTTATTTTCCATTTAGTATTTCAAGAATGACTGCACTTTGATTGATGCGTGTCATGGTTAAGACAATTTTAACATGGCGGTCTATGGGGAAAGAATACACAATGTTGTATATATGTTGTTCATGTAACTACAATGCGGAAAATACTTGAGGGAACATTACATGGAAATTATGTATCTGTGACCAAGATGATTTCCTAACAACCTGCAAAATTTGACAAGCAAATAACGAAAACTGAAGTAATGAAAATTATTACAGCTACACTAAAATAACATGCAAGTCAATGAGAATTTTTCCGACTGACGATTACTTATGTCCCATGACTGTACATCGTGTATAATGTAATGATCTGATGACGCGTCATTTTCGCCGCATACAAAGGTACAGCTGGTTTAACAACATACAGGTTGTCCATTTAAGTCACATACGCGTTATCCGTATGAACATACGTGTTATATCTCCAAACAACATACGTGTTATATCTCCAAACAACATACGTGTTATATCTCCAAACAACATACGTGTTATTTCTCCAAACAACACACGTGTTATTTCTCTAAACAACATACGTGTTATATCTCCAAACAACATACGTGTTATATCTCCAAACAACATACGTGTTATATCTCCAAACAACATACGTTGTTATATCGCCAAACAACACATACGTGTTATATCTCCAAACAACATACGTGTTATATCTCCAAACAGCACAGGACGTGTTATATATCCGATCAGTACTCGAGTAATAGACAGACAAATTTAATTGGCTTAATCCTTAATTGGCCTCTGGCCGCAGTACAGTGTCATTGGTTATATCTGTAGTTGATTTGGGATGGACAGACAAGATTAACATTACAAATATTTACTTGGAGGGGATATGTTTTAACAATTATTATGACTTGTTTTGTTTTTTAACTTCGACGCCTTATAAGCATATTTCGTTAATTTTCTTTTTATGTGCATACTTTCACATTGATATACATGTAATTGTATAGTTTAGCATTGACGGTGTTAAGTCATACTGTTGCTTAATATGATGACGTCGTAACTGTTTATACAATGGCGTGTCAAGACAAAAAAGTACTCGTCTTCAATATCATTAGTGTGTTGTATATCCGATCAGTATACGTGTTGCACATCCGATCAGTATACGTGTTGTATATCCGATCAGTATACGTGTTGTATATCCGATCAGTATACGTGTTGTATATCCGATCAGTATACGTGTTGTATATCCGATCAGTATACGTGTTGCACATCCGATCAGTATACGTGTTGTATATCCGATCAGTATACGTGTTGCACATCCGATCAGTATACGTGTTATATATCCGACCAGTATACGTGTTATATATCCGACCAGTATACGTGTTGTATATCCGATCCGTACACGTCTTATATGTGCAAAAAGTACACGTGTGATATGTCTAATTAGTATGCGTGTCATCTGTATCAACAACACATCATGTCAAAGAATGCCGATGTAAAGAACCTACGTAGTAAATATACATGTTCTCTCAACAACATACGTGTTATTGGTCTATATAACATGCGTGTTATCTGCAGGTTATACCGTTATCAAATAGCTATGGAACAGACATATCTAGCGCCATCACTCTACAAGTAATGGACTCAGCATGAAGACATCTTGAGGTAACTTCACCTGCAGATGTAAACTCTAGAAGTGGGAGACGCGGAGAGAACACATGGACCAGATGATGCGGGCAGACGGCACAGGAACATAAACAACCTTGATATTCAAAGCGTTCATACTCAAATGTCAAACAATAAGCCAGCATACAATGTTTACTAACGTTTGTGTTCGTATTTCACAGACAAGCAGTCAACTTTGAAAAGTAAAGATTTTTCGATCGATGAGTTGTGACGAACTTTGTAATATCTTAGCTTCAGAAATCGTATTGTGCGTACACTGCATTGTCAGTATGCCGTATTGTCCGGCCTGTACTTTCCAGTGGTGGCTTCAGCATCACAGATGCCATTTTGCATCTACTTTACTCCATGATGAAACATGACCGTAGTATCGGTGTATAAGCAGTATAATTATCACAAGAGAGCGAGAGAGAGCGAGAGAGAGAGAGAGAGAGAGAGAGAGAGAGAGAGAGAGAGAGAGAGAGAGAGAGAGAGAGAGAGAGAGAGAGAGAGAGAGAGAGAGAGAGAGAGAGAGAGAGAGAGAGAGAGAGAGAGAGAGAGAGAGAGAGAGAGTGTGGTGGTTGTCTGCCGTCTGTATTATACTTTCACACAAGGAGGTATTGTTTAAGGATCCTATACTTATTCTTCATTACAGCCCATACCTACACTGAAGCTCATATCTCTGTATTTTAACTATTTTCGTTTATTTGTCGCACTATTCTTGCTGAACGACGATGGTGTAACTATATCAATATGAAATTGAAGCACATGCATAAAACTTCATTACTGGCTACTTCAATATACAAGAAACTCACGTGTCTTCCATCATTTCAACTGCCTTTACATTTTTATACATAAAAGTGTTTCGACTAAATTCATGTTTCACTTCTTTTCACTTTGAAACAGAATTTCAACCAGCTGTAGCTAATAAGCATACAAACACGACAATCAACCCAACGACAGCTCCACAATCCACCACGATAACTAGCACAGTAATCACATGAATAATTGATAATGTGTGAGCGATTGTGTGTAAAGTGTAGTATGTGTCCTCGATACCGAGCAATGATAAGGTGAATAAACCAACTCACCAGTCAACTATAGCAGGGGGCGGGGCGAGCAAAAAGCACTTACATTCTGTCATGAACTCGGGGAGTCAAGTATATCTGTGCTGTGCCGAGCTCCACGGAATATTAAATGTTCGTTAGTCGTTACTTCACGACGAACGCGAACATCCTCATCAAATATTCATGAGACAATACTGTCTACTAAATGTTTCATCAAATACATGGTATTCTTTAAAGCCCCTGTTAACAATAGGACTACAAAAAAACGAACATTGTCTGCTTCACGAGCTAATACACTCCAGTGCTTTTTTACATGTATTACATTCGACCGAGATATAATTCTCCAAGCCCTTCGGCATTAAATGTGGTATCATGATTGAAAAACTAAACCTATTTCAGCGATCTAATTCAAGTACAGGGTATCTCATTCAAGGAAGTATTCATCTAAAGCAAAATAACAATCCAATTCGATTGATCATCCCTAGTTTACACGATATCCAGTCCGGAAACTGTGGAAGAATTCCGACAGACTCCGAATGGCCAATACCGCTGCATCTACTGAGACAGCTTAACGCGGTGTGATTTGGGGCGTTTGGGGACTACAACAATCCCGTTATTAACAGTGCATCTGAAAGGTGTACAATCGAGCGTTGTGAGTTACGAACAATTCAATAAAGGACAATCCATTTTGCAAACAACATTACAAGGTGCTCACAGTATGGAATATGGTGACCTTCCATAGTCCCCCCCTGATGTGAGAGGAATGAAGTTATAACGTTTGATATTTTTTCTGTGATGAGCTATGACTAACGGCTATGAAACAACGCATCTGCATCACGATCGACATCTGATGATTTCTATCTGACTGACATGTGTGCTATGAAGATGACCAGCCCTAATTGAGCACTCGGTTTTGTGTTAGCTGTACAGGTTGAGATTCCAGCTTTGCTATTCTGGCAGAACGACAAGTGTAAACATGGATTATACAACACAAAATCAATTCTCGCTCACATCCCTGCAGACCTTTATATTAATCACGCAACTCAAAATCAGTTTACTCTGACTAGTAATCAAGGAAAGCACCTGAGAGACAATAATACAATACAGTCAGTTATTATACGCTCAATATCGTGGCCTATATTACTTAAAGAAGTATCACACCCTACCAGAACGGCAACAGTGCGTATGTATTGGAACGGATACAGTTTGGGCATCAATGGCATGTACCACAAGTGTTTGTTGGCGGGTGTGACCCCGCCTTGGTGGGAGGATGGGGACGAGGGGTTTATGTGGGGAGATTCAGAAACTGTTCCTACCTGAAGCTATCGTTGTCACCAGGAAACACAGCACTCTGCTATCAATTATCGAACCCATTGTTGTTTGGTAGCATGTTCCACTTTACCAGCCGTCACGCTCTCTTCATCAGCTGAACGATTCACTCCTCCACTGCTGCTTCAAATCAGTTACACCAGCATCGACAATTACGGCGAAGCCAGGAAAGATGTTTATATTAACATTTCAGCTGGTATATCCTTTGGCTGTTCCAGACCATGCCTGGCTCACAAGCTCCTAGGTGAATGTTTCAGACTCTGGGATGTGATGTCGCTCCTCAGCCTCGCTTTCAAAGCGATCAATTCTCGTCTGCTCTGACAACCCGCGTGCTCTCGCAGACGACACATTCTACGTCTCGCGTGATCAACCATTTTACTTCCCGAAATATGTGGAATCTAGAACCTGCTTCTGTGAAAAGATAAAGTTTATTTCAAGCGACAGTTTGGTTTTCCCTTTCGCCCTTCATTCAATTATATTCGAGAAATCTCATTAAGCTCAGACTTGAAGTCACGCCAGATACAATCACTGTTTTCGTGCGTCTTAATTTCCTTTGCCATAACGAACTCACGTGATACAAGTAAAATCAAACAAACGCCTCGGTGTAAAATTAAACCACGAAAAATGATGATTTAATTTAATAAATGCTATCATCTCAAAGAAAACCACAATACATAGTTCTAATGCCTAGCGCATCTAACTGTGATAATGATACCATTGTTTGAGATCAAATGGTAGAGGATCGCCAAAAACATAAAATATAATAACACAATCATAAAACTATAAGCTTTATCCACCCACCCATCCATACATTCACCCGCCCATCCATGCATTCACCCAACCATCCAACTGCAATTTCAGAGAATGTCCCTATAACCATCTGTGCGACGTTGATTACCAAATTTTAAATAATTCACAGACAGAACAAAAATAGTGTACTGAATGCGGAAGGGAAGTTGTCAGTGACGTCATGCCTGTTCATGGAGATGTACCCATCGCCGCCACAGTGGGTGTAATTCTTCAAGATAAGGTAACTATTCCACTCGCAGACACTTGGGGATCGTCAGTCTGTCTGTTCATTTAATTAAGCACGGCTAAATTACCCACTCTGCACTGCAAAACGTATTTAATCTCCAGTGCGACCGAAAGGCATTCCGGACACAGCCAATAATTCAAGGGGAATATTAAAGCTAGTTGTGCTTTGTCAAAGCCAGACGAATTATGCAAAACATATCTGAAAGTTACCTACCATCAGGGCGACCTTTAACAGCAACAACTGTTGCGGTTGGTACCAATATGTTGTACGAAAAGGTGACGTGAGGTGAAATTGGCTTTTAACGTCGTGCTTGAGAATATTTCGCTCATATGACGACGTGCATGCGTATGTATGTGTATGTGCGGCTACTTGTACTAGCCCAGACTTAAGCTGGTTTTATCGTGCTAGCTCACTGAGATACCATGCCTCAGTGAAGCATGAATACCCCACTCAGACACATTATACAGTCCTTGCTGTACCCATGAATGCCGAGCGCCAGGCAGGGGCCAACAAGTACCATATTTTAACGTCTTTTGGTATGGCGCGGTCGCGACCTTCTGCTCTCCAGGCGGACGCTCTAACCACTACACCACGGAGGCGGTCTGTACGAAAAGGTATTAAAGCATGCTACCCTATGACGTCATAAGCTTTCATGCTCCATTAGTATGAGGGGAGTAACAACCGTTTTGCTTATATTGCCGGAGGAATAAATTATGCATCACTTTGATGCCATTCTCACATTCGACTCCAGAAGCAAGCCGCGACGAGGTGTCGATACATGATATACATGAACATGCAGAGAGCTAGAACCCTCGGGAGGAAAGAACTTGTTCGAGAAACAATGGTACCTTCAGGGTTAATTATCTCGGGATTAATGGATCAATTTCAATTATCCTCTGTATGCAGCCTATTGTGGGACAATATCATAACGTGACTGGCTATGTATGAGCTATTTAACCATAGTCAGGCGATATAGATGCTTGAGGTGATGCCAATTGACCAGGAGTACAATAATAATGAGACAATAGCCGATCTGAAGTTTCTGACTGTTAATAAGGAAGCTATTTTTCAGCAGTCAATCATCTTTACTAATACACAGATTCCATACGGTTAACAAAAACTGATATTTTCATCTTACATTAGACGTAAACGCAACAACACACACACTATTGCAGATTTTCCATCTTACATTAGACGTAAACGCAACAACACACACACTATTGCAGTTTTTCCATCTTACATTAGACGTAAACGCAACAACACACACACTATTGCAGATTTTCCATCTTACATTAGACGTAAACGCAACAACACACACGCTATTGCAGTTTTTACCATCTTACATTTTCCACGTAAACGCAACAACACACACACATTATTGCAGTTTTTCCATCTTACATTAGACGTAAACGCAACAACACACACGCTATTGCAGTTTTTCCATCTTACATTTTCCAGACGTAAACGCAACAACACACACGCTATTGCAGTTTTTCCATCTTACATTAGACGTAAACGCAACAACACAAACACGCAACACATTAGACGTAAACGCACCATCTTACATTAGACGTAAACGCAACAACACACACCATTGCACTATTGCAGATTTTCCATCTTACGTTAGAAGTAAACGGAACAACACACACACTATTGCAGTTTTTCCATCTTACATTAGACGTAAACGCAACAACACACACATTATTGCAGATTTTCCATCTTACATTAGACGTAAACGCAACAACACACACACTATTGCAGTTTTTCCATCTTACATTAGACGTAAACGCAACAACACACACACTATTGCAGTTTTTCCATCTTACATTAGACGTAAACGCAACAACACACACACTATTGCAGTTTTTCCATCTTACATGAGACGTAAACGCAACAACACACACACTATTGCAGTTTTTCCATCTTACATTAGACGTAAACGCAACAACACACACACATTATTGCAGATTTTCCATCTTACATTAGACGTAAACGCAACAACACACACACACTATAGATTTTCACATCTTACATGAGACGTACTATTGCAGATTTTCCATCTTACGTTAGACGTTAACGGAACAACACACACACTATTGCAGTTTTTCCATCTTACATTAGACGTAAACGCAACAACAACACACACATTATTGCAGATTTTCCATCTTACATTAGACGTAAACGCAACAACACACACACTATTGCAGTTTTTCCATCTTACATTAGACGTAAACGCAACAACACACACACTATTGCAGTTTTTCCATCTTACATTAGACGTAAACGCAACAACACACACATTATTGCAGATTTTCCATCTTACGTTAGACGTAAACGCAACAACACACACACTATTGCAGATTTTCCATCTTACATTAGACGTACACGCAACAACACACACACTATCGCAGATTTTCCATCTTACGTTAGAAGTAAACGCAACAACACACACACTATTGCAGTTTTTTCATCTTACATTAGACGTAAACGCAACAACACACACACTATTGCAGTTTTTCCATCTTACATTAGACGTAAACGCAATGCAGTTTTTCCATCTTATACTGTAAGCCATTAAAAACGCAATTTGACATTCATACTTACTTTACTCAAACTAATTTCAACATATATAAATCTAACTGACAGATAGGTTTTAAGTGAACATCTGTGAATAATTTCATCTGAAAATGTCCAGTCAACAACAACATCAGTGACGCAACAACGACATCAAACAAAGGAGGGGTTACTTGCAGTCAATATCGTGTGTGTCCACCGTGCGCTGCAAGACATGCTCGCAGTCTTTGGGGCATTGGAAGACACACATTTCTCAGGAACAGCTGTTGGATGGTCTGCAGCCTCTGATGGTCTGTTGTCTGATCATGACACCACCCCCTCCAAAACGATCATGTTCAAGGACACAGTTTGGCGCAAGTCTATCTCCTTTACGTCGATAAATCTGTTGACGTCCAACTGCAAAGGATAAGTTAAACCTGGATTCATCTGAAAAAATGACATCTGGCCATGTCCTGTTGCCAAGATTGGCCCCATTTGCTTCCCATCGCTGTCTGGCAAGTCTGTGGCGATGCAATAAGGTTTGACCACGGTACGGGTGACGACACCGGATGTTGAAGGCAGCAAGGCGTCCTTGCACCTTTTGGGCGCTGAAATGACGTTGACTTGTCCCAATTGTCCTCCTTGCCTAATCATTAGCTGTTTGGAACCGATTTCACAAGTGTGAAACTCGGATATTGCGGTTTTGTCGAGCTGTTATCACAGGTGGTGCACCAGGTCGCGGACGATCAGCAACACTTCCGGTAGCCCGAAAACGTTGTCTGAGTCGACTTACAGTGGATGGATGCACATTAAAGTGCCTGGCAATCATCACATCTGAAGCGCCTTGGCTGACCAGTTTTTAGCAATAGAGTGGCATCTCAGAACCCCAAAGACATGGAGCACAAAAAAATATCTAATATCACGGTCTTAAGATTTCGGTTTGGGAATATAGTCTGAATTGCTACTCCGCTTGTGTCCAACTACGGGTACCTCGACATAGTTCCAAAGGATGCCAAAGTTATCCGTGGTCTATTGTCATTTGAAAGTATGTGCCTTGATCGGTTTGTGATACTCGATTGTCAGGTTGTATTTACCTGCATTTATGTAAGTAGCATATAATATAATACCATTCACTTGCTCTTTTCCAAAACTAACAGACCTGGCCATCCGGGTATAGCAGCTCGGTAACGATGCAATCTTCAAACGTACATGCTATCATAGTCACTCAGTGTGGAAATTGGGTGTTTCGGCCGTGGTACGACGAGGTTAATTCATCACATGAGGAATTAGCACGTCTTCCAAAAACACAGCCACTTTAATCAGTCCCAGATCGACGGAAGTTTGAAACTTTCATCTTCATCGTTATTAAAGGAAGGTACAAGTATTTGCCATAAACTAATTATTATATAGTAATACGTTGTGGATAATGAGTTGCCGTACTTACTGTTTTTATGTTAATGTTGCATACATAAACATCAGACATTTCTTAATTATACTGCACTGGCACATGCACCAAATATCAGAACACACATATTGCAATAGTGTTTCTGTGTCGATTTCGTCTATAAGTAAATATCGATAAATACATGTTTGCAGGTGTGTTTTCTGGTCAAGCATCTGCCTATCTGTCTTCTGTCATTCTGGCAACGTATGTAGCATTCTTTTAGTATGTCAAGCCATTGTCGGTCTGTCAATATGTCAAGCATTCTCTCAGTCAA